TTACACAGCAAATAGTGGTTTATTGTTCTATTAATGTTCAGAATGCTGCATACAGCTCCTTTAACTTGGCTAAAATTGTATTACATAATTTCAACAACATGTATCAGATTGTTTTTGATGTACACAGTTTCTTACTTTATTATGCTGAATTAAAATTAGATGTGTTCTGTTTTGTTTTGTTTTTTTTCAGGAATAATAATAACGGGATCACACGATTACTACATAGAATCATACAGTGTTTTTTTCAGCAAGGACAGAAAAACTTGGAAGCTTTACAAAGATGCTCTCAGCAGAGAAAAAAAGGTATGCATTGTATCATACTCACTGATGTTCACTTGATGGTTCTCACTGAGGCCCCAACAGAGCTCATATGGCGACTGAGTCATACTGCAGGCTTCCTGGTGTGCTCTGTGAATAAGTAACTTGGTTGTTATGGTTCCCAGGTGTTTCAGGCCTACACTGATGGCCACCTCAGGGTTCTGAACAGCTTTCTCCCTCCTGTGGTGGCTCGGTTTGTCCGGCTACAGCCACTGAGATGGCATGGCCAAGCTTCGGCTCAGGTGCAAGTTCTGGGCTGTCCCGTAGCCAAGATGACACCAAGGTCACGCCCAGCCGCTGGTGGGTATTCTCAATGCTTATCAGCGTAATCCGTTTACGTGATCTATCAAGCAGTGTGAGTTCATGTCTGTGCTCCTGATATTATGATGCCCTGTGCTACTCGTCCAGCAGAATTTCCATCCATCAAAGTTAACATTGGTACACCAGAGCCAGGCCCCACTCCGACCCCCACAGAGGGCCCAGTGTTAGTGGAGACCAGACTGAGTGAGTATCACTTTCTAATTTCATTTGTCTATAATCAGAAATAATGCCAGTTTATCTTTGGAAAAAGACATGACAGATCAGTAAAAACACTGTCACATATACCTCTCTCACACTCAACAGTGTGTGCAGTGCAATAAACTGCATTCCTTCCTCACATTTGTACAACTGTTTACTTACCCGGACACTTGTGTTCCTGCAGGCTCCAGTCAGCCAGTAATAGTGGCAGTGGGTGTGGTGCTGGGCCTGATAATGTGCGGCAGTTGTTTGATGGTGGGAGTCTGGTGGAAGAGAAGGTACGGTATTTTAATTCTGTTGAACTTTTCAGAGTCAATTTATTTTCATGTGAAAACAGTTTATAACAAATGGAGTACTGTCACTATACATTAAAATGTATTATTTTATTCATGCTGTAGTACTTCTAGTGAAGGGCAAATATACTATGGTTAATCATTATTCCTAAATTTTTAAAATATTTTTGCATGAAAATGGCTGAAATGGTTAATTATTTAAAGTGGAAATAGGCATGTTTTTTTTGTTTTTTTTTTTACTTTTTATTTGATCACACATTATGACATCATAATGACATCATCTGCGATTAGACTGGTTTCCTGTTAGCCTCGCTTTCACTATGCAATTCTGTCTGCCACCGATCTCCATGCAAAATGAAGGCTTGATTTACAGCACAAAGAAGTGCGTCCACCTTTGCGCAACCAAAACAGGAAGAGGATAGTGCTTTTGTTTTCCATGGTAGCTATCGGTAGCTAACCCCAGTTACCAAAGAGCATCGGTGTAAGCCCTATGCAGTTACCATCCCCAGTTGCGGAAATGGCGGGTCTTGAAACAACCGAAGTAACCGTGGAAAACAAAATGCAGTGTGTCCTGTGTTGTTGTTAGTTGCTAGGCTGCAAGGAAAACGGAAAGTTTGTCTTTGCAACAGCGATGCCAGCAATAATACCACATGAAAACACAAGGAAGGTAAAAGTTGAAAAGTTGTATGTTTCCACTCTAGGTAGTTGCCTATTATTTTCTGTCGACCAATTAACTGACTAATCGCTACAGCTCTAATGGTAATGCTCCAGTATTCATAGCATGCTGAAGATACTGTTTCTAGTATAATGTTATAATTTTCTGTGTTCCTCTTCTTCTCCATATAGGAAAAAAGATTCACAAATGAAGTACTCCTTACCCACAAGTAAGTCAAGAGCCCTTTGGTCACTTTCCAGCATTTTAAATCCTCTGTTAAAAAAGCCTGTAACTGTGTGTTTGTGTGTTAAGTAGGCTGCCAGAGTTTCCAGGCAAAGAGTCTTTCCTGCCCTCAGTCGGAGCTTATCTCTTACCCTCTGGAGCGAAATGTTCATGATGCTCTACCAAACCCTCCTCTTAATGGTGAGGAATACTTTTTAACTTTATTTTAATAGTACCCTGCTGTGCCTCTGTATTTCTGCTGTCATTATCAGCCGCTGCCTTTTTGCTGTTTCTTTCATTGCCTATTCAGAGTTTACTGGTGATCTCAAGTCGTGAGCTCTGCCTTCCCTCTTCCATGTTTCCTGCTCTAACAGTCTCTGGCCTCAGTGGTCAGTTTGAGGGGCTCATGCCAGGCCTGACAGGCAAACAGCTCTCTCCACGGGCTGTCCATTCTTTCCACTGGCTCAGCCCATCACCCAGACGCAGTATAAACATTCCTTTCTTTGGTCCACGGAGCCTCTCTGAAAGGGACCCTTTAATTGGAGCTTGATAAAGGGCGCTCAGCCTACCCCACCACTGCCATCAGTCCCCCTCTCTGCCTCCCTCGTCCCCTCCCCCAGCAAGGGGGCCCTTCACTGAGAGGTCCAGTGATAAACAGGACACAGGGTCAAAGCTAAGACAATCAAAGCTCTCACTAAAGCCTGTCTAATTAAAATAGCTCTGGCTCCGAGGCTCCCTGTGGGCCCTTGAGTAAGGTCTAGGCCTCCCACACCACAGCCTCCTCTGCTGGGGCAAAACGTAGGGGTTTGGTCAGATGTGATTGCTTCACTGTCAGCCCTGTAGTTAGAGGAGACAATGTTGGTGGCCAAGCAGCTCCTGCAGAGGCTCAACACTGGCCTAGTATGAGACTACTATTCAGTCAAAAAGAAGAATTCACCAGAACCTGCAGTGTAAGATGCAAATTAGAAATTGATCCTACAAAAGTATTTCCTGTTTAGCAAAGGATGCTGCAATGATGTTTTCATACCCATTTAATACCATTGCTTTTATCACAGTGATGGAGTATTAGCTGGGATGCACCAGTATGTTTTACAGCTCATAAAATGCTTGATATTTTATACATACTTATATTCTCTGATCCTGATAGGCATTTTGAGAGTTGAAGATATAGAACGAAAATGGTTTAAGCTTTTCTGACAAGCCTGTTTGAATGTGCCTAGAGATTCATTCTTGATGTAGGTCTATACTATGAAAACCTTTCAAGCTCAAGGTTCACTCAGCTTAGCTATGCGGAGGCTTGGGAGAAGCTAAATAGGTCAGCCTTGAGTTTAGAATTTTATCACAGCATTTTAAAGGTACTGTAAAGTAATCAAATAGCTTTAAAGGGACTCAGGGACCTTTAACTTTATTTATTTCTATTGGCACCTTATTTATTGTTGTGGTTTTTATGTGAGATACTGGATACAAGAATTTCCCCATGGGGATGAATAAACCATCTCTCCATGTAAAGATTGTACTTTAATCCTGGTTATATTGACAGTTATTTAATGGACATTGATGGATCGAACGAAACTTTTACTCACAGGGGAAACTCACTGAGAATAAGGTTTTGTACAGGAGTGGCTTGTTTACAGGGTACTGCAAAAACTGCTCAGGATTGGCCTGAGAAACGTGAAAAAGAGCTCAAGGCGTTGACCTGGCATCCAAATTCCACCGCTACCAGTCCAATCGAGCATCTGTGGGATGTTCAGTAACCCAGAGGTTTTGTCCATGCCTCAACAGGTCAGAGCAAAGTGCGATTCAAGGTGGAGCCTCTGACTTGTCGAGGCATGGACACAGGACCTCTGGTTGTGTCCTGTGGTGCCTGGCACCAGGGTGATAGTGGCGAAACCTTTGAGTCAGTTGAGTTGTGAATTGGGGTGCCAGCATTTCCTGCAGGTGCTCGATCAGACTGGGGTCAGGGGGATTTGGAGGCCAGGCTGCCATAAATGGGTGTACTTGGTCTGCAACAGTGTTTGGTGGGTGGTGCGTTTAAAGTGGCACCCACATAAATGCGAGGAACCAAGATTTCTCAGCAGAGCATTGCACTGTAGGAAGATAATCAATGTTAGTCACTTATCTTGTGGCTGATTAGTGCTTATATATAAGATTAATACTGGATTAAAACTGAGTAGTTAGAGGCAGGTTAGTGGACAACCCATGCCAATATTTGTTGCATCTGACATCAACAGAAATATAATCTCATCTGATTTATTATCATTCCAGACTATGCAGAGCCTGCTGTTGCAGCTATTGGACAGAAGGTTGGGTCAACATTCAGACCTGCCTCAGATGAGGGCTACACCACCCCCTTCGCCCTCAGCCATTATGATACTCCTGGCAATCTTCCAGAGTACGCTGAGCCTCTTCCCCCGGAGCCTGAGTATGCCACCCCGTTCAGTGAGCAGCCCTCTGAGTCCAGCCACCCAACTTTGACAGGGATCATTCACAGCAACACACATGGAGCTCCCGCACCTAACGCTGGTGCCAGAACATCAAACCACACTAAGTATGACTGCCCCTCACACAGGATGTTATCCAATGGCTACTGCACTCCTGCTGTACATGCCAATGGCCCGCGGCCGGTCAGTGTGGTCTATGCTGAGCCCAAGTCATGTGACTCTTTACTACAGAAGCACACATATGAGGAGCCTTTGTGATCACAGCAAGCTCAGACATGCAGAAAATGAGACTCTCTTGAGCTGAGCTGGGACCAGAGGACAGCTTAGGGTGATCTCAGGTGGACACTAAGCTGGACAGTGCTGTCCACAGAGTACTAACGCTGACTGAGTGATGTACCCAAAGTTGAGAAGTCACTTTGGACCACGACGCATGTACGAGGGTACGCGACTCACAATGATCTGAGAGCCATACGGACCAAGTATTTCCTTCCAGGAAGTGTGTAATTGTACAGCGGAAGTGTCCTATGATGCACAAAGAAAATACAGGTTCAGTCGTGTCTCAGAGATACTGTTTATTGAAATGTTTAACCACAAGCTGCACTTTCAGAAAACACATACAGAGATGTATGCTTCATTGTATTTAACAGGTTAATGCAAAGAAGTGGTGTGAATGTGTTACTTGTCCTCACAAAACATTGTACTCACAATGTATAATTTCAACATGTTTTGCTTAAAAAAAGAAGCACTATAAATGGTACACTGTAACAAAGTGATTAAGATTGTTGCTATGATTATGTGTAACCACTAGGTGGCTCTCTTGAGCTTTAAACAGTAATGGATTAAGTCTTTGCTGGTTCTCACTCCTCAGATAGTTTCAGCTATTTATAACACAGTAACAAAGAAACATTGGTTTGAAATAAATGCTTGGGTTGCAGTTTAACACAGAAAGGCACAGCAGGCACAGCGGTGTCATGATTAAGATGGGGGACTTTCCTTTACATGGATGAATGCTCCGGTCAACACAAACATTAAAACTTGTCAGGCTTTGCCACGGCAACAGCAACTTCATTTCAATTAACTCTGTGCTCTTTAATTTTCTCTGCCATCTAAAGTCCATTGGGTTCTTTAATTTTGTCTGGAAAATATAGGTCTTAAACAGATTAAATGCCTTCATTTAAACAAATTGATGTGATACTGCTGTTGTCCACGCTTAGAGGCAAGGAAGAAGATAGAAAATTGTACTTTTTCCTTTTACATTTTATATAATAAGGGTCAGGTGACTGTTAGTCCTCCGTTATATCTGAAAATGTTACTAAACCCCCTCAAAAATGTCATTTAATTTTCTACAAAAGCTTTTACAAGATTTATGATGTCACATTTGGCGATGAATTCCCTAACCTTTTCCACTGTTGAATAAGGCACAATAAAAAAACTGTTTTATAAAATAATTTAGACATTGGCCTGGTGTGTAATTGCAGCAGCAATGTTGGAGGAGGCTGTTTTAAAATAGATTTAAAACCTGTAGCAGTGATGAATCTGCACAAACAGGCGGCTGGAGTCCTCACTGACAGAAAATGTCCACAAATATTTAATGGGAAATTTACCCATTGACACTGAGAGCAGCCGGGGGAATGCTCTGAGAATATGGGCACATTTTCTGTTTGACAACTGAGAACACTACAATAGAATAAAGCTTATTTAAGTATAAAAAAGAAAACTGGATCCAAAAATCAGTCTCCCATTCATACTCTATGGAGCAGCTTCACACTGAATACTGAGACGTACTTCTGTGGATTCTGGCTTTGAGAGAGTGTCGCTTATGTTCGCAAATATTGATTGAGCTTCACTAGGTCATGGGAATAGCATGTTGGAGATAAAAAAAAAAAAAAGACTAGCCAGCTCACTCAGTGTAGAAGCCCATAGTACAGTCCAAAAATGCACCTGAGGCGCTTTGATTGTAGTTAAAAATCCTTTATTAATACACAGATAATCAGTGCATTTCGACTAAAGAGTCTTCATCAAGGTGTAAAATGTATTGGACACAGATGTGCAATCTAAGAGCTCATATGAGGGTCATGTTGCAAATGAAAATGACATAAATGTGTACTGTAAATAATGAACATATTTAGTTATAAAGAAAAGGTTCAATGCCACATAAATAAAAAGGAAACAACAATGAAATAAAATGTGTTACATATTGTGACAAACCTGCACATAGAGCAGCAGAAACTGAAATACATAAGAAATGTATGACAAGGACAAGAAACAATATGTGTGAACAGACAACAAACTCAACTCTAGAGATGTCTTTTTGTCACATAAAACAATTCTTATTTAATTTTATTGTTATTTCCTGTATTTATGTGGCATTATACCTTTTTTCTTCTTACTAAATGTGCTAATTATTTATAGTGTACATTTATGTCATTTTCATTTCTGTCAGTGTGTTTTTTTTGCCTAGTGGGGCTATAGCAGTACATCATGTGTCCTGTGTCACATGACTTAAGTTGCACATCTGTTTCCAATGCATTTTACACCCTGATAAAGATTCTTTAGTCGAAAGGCATTGGTTATCCATGTATTAATAAACTGAACCAGCCACTCGTTTTTTATCTTTAAGTGGCTCTCTGTGACTCTCCTTGAAGAGCACCTGATTTTTTTTTACAACTAACTACACAATGCCTTAACCACCTTAACCCAGTGCAGCACTCCTTATTTTTTCCTGAATAACATGTTGGAATTCTTAATTTGGGCAGTGTTTCCCTTTAAGTAACAACTTTTATCAAGTCATTAATTCAAAAACCTGTTCACAGGTACGATTGGGCATCTAAATATAAGATATTCTCCTTAAAATCTATAGAAGTCTGTGGCTCTAAAAGAAGTAGTGCGCTATCAAAGACTTTTAAAAGTGAAAAGAGAACATTTTAAGACAGAAAATAACACTTAATTCTAACACTTGTGTTTCAACACTGTACCAACAACATCTTCACTCTCCACTGTTATCACAGCCTCTCTTGTTTGTGCTTAACTCTTTCCTCTGCCCCTCCACCTCCTCCCTCCCCTCAGAGGAGTAGTGCATCAGAGTCTGGTGTCTGTTCCTGGACGGGGCGTCCTGAAAGCGCAGGCCACAGTCTTCACACACATACAGGAGCCCCTCTCTGCTGCTGCCTGCGTTTGCTCCCTCTGACTGAGCTTTGGTAACATCACCAGGACGTGCAGCCGTCGACACAGACGACTCTCTGGAGTTTGGAGCTATGTGTGAGTTGGTGTCTGTGCTGTTGGATGTATTCAGCCCAACGCTGGTTGGAGGGAAAGTCCTGGGACGCCCAGGTGGATTAGCACTTCCTGCTGGTCCCCGATATGCATCCCCGGCTTCAGCCTCTCCAGCATGTTCAGGGGCCAGTCCATGGACCGTGCGGTAGTGGAAGCGAATCCCGGAGCGGTTGGAAAAGCCTTTCCCACAGAAGCTGCAGATGAAGGGCCTCTCTCCTGTGTGGATGCGCATGTGGATCTTCAGAGCACCTGACTGGGTGAAACACTTCCCACACTGGCTACAGGAGTAGGGCTTCTCTCCTGTGTGGGTCCTCTGATGGGCCCGGACCCCTGCCAGATGGGGAAACCCCCTGCCGCAAAATCCACAGGAGTATGGCCTCTCACCTGTGTGAATACGCCTGTGGATCTTCAGAGCCCCCGACTGACTAAAACTCTTCCCGCAGTCGGAGCAGGAGTAGGGCCGGGCGCCAGTGTGCACATTGAGGTGGATGCGGAGGTTGCTGTGTGAGTTGAAGGCCCTGCCGCACTCTGTGCAGAGGAAGCCGGATGGTTTGTGGGCATGCTCAGAGCGCTGATGCTGCAGCAGCTGGGACGGTCTAGAGAAAGAGGCAGAGCAGTGCATACAGGGATGCAGCGACAACACCGACGTCCTAGCTCTTTCCTCTTGCTGCTGAGTGTGTGTTTGTCTGTGCTGGTGGTGGCAGACCTGAGTACAGGTGGGAAAGGGGCGCTGGCAGGACAAGCAGGGAAAGGGTCCAGAGAGCTGTGGAGCATGAGAGCGGGCCAGCTGAGGGCAGGGTAGACAGGAGGTGATGGGACAGTGGTGGTGATGGAAATGATGATGGGCGTGAGCATGAGAGAATGGGGAGTCTGTGTCCTCCTGGTGACTCAGTATCTGGGTACAGGCTTGTAGGCTGCGATGGCAACACAAGCAGGGGAACATGGAGAGGTGGGACAGGGAGTTAGAGGACGGAGGAGTCTGATCTGGACTCTGAGTCCCTCTGTCTGCATCCTCCCTCTGCATTCCACCAGCCACCCTGGTTTCTTGCTCAGGCGAGGTGCTGCTTGGTTCAGTTGTGTCAGGTAAGCACATGCTGAGGCTCATTGGAGCCGTGCTGCTCAGGTCTTTGGGCTGGCATCCTGCATCCAAGTTTTGGGGTGTGGATTGTCTGGGTTTCAAAGTCTCAAAGGAAGGTGGAGATGTGGAGTAAGGGCAGCCAGGGCAGGTGCAGGCGTTATGCACATCTAGACATAAAAGAAATATGGATTACAATGACATTAACACAAGAAAGTGACTCAAACAATCTTCATGCTGAGCTCTCACCCTCTCTCCTTTCTCTGGCCTGTCCCTTCAGCTGTGATGCCCCGGGCTGGATGTACCGGCGTGGCTCCGCCTCTGACTTATCAGGGACAGGTCGAGGTTGTTGTAGAAGTTCAAGCGACGCACCTTTGAACCGCAGAGCATCACCTCCACCACCACCACCACCACCACCTCCACCTCCAGTAGCCACGCCCCATGCTGTGTTCAGCATCTCTGGCTGATCCTTCAAGGTGTTTCCAGATACGATGAGGTCACCAATGAACTGATGCATCTCCATCCAGGAGCACGGAGCACGCTGCGGGAAGTAAAAGGCGTAGTTACACAGTCTGGATGCATTTAGTGTGAGGATAACCAAAAGTCTATGTTACTGTGCGATGACAAGGAATTATAATGCGTCACGACTTTAGCTAAAAAAAACAAGTGATTTAAATAACGGGGTCGCTACTTACAATGTCGCTACACTTGTCTTTGTCCATGAAATTTAACAAACGCTGGTGATTTCCGGTTCAGCGTTAAACTAACGGTTTCAAAAATGTCACTTTACGGCTAAAAAACAACGTCTTTAACAAAAAATGTACGTTCTTTCATTTATTTATTATCATTATAACATTATTACATTTCCACTGTCGCCTACTCCCGTTAAAACATCTCGTCCCCTAGCAAACATTGTATTTCCGGGTTCTTACGTCACATGATGCGAGTTGTAGTCTTTTTATTTAATGCCTTTTTTTAACTTAAAAATATAATATTAATTTAAAAAACATATATAAACGAATATTTTAAAACAAAACAAAAATATCTTTACGTTTTAAAACGTTGTTTGTAGGCTTATTTATATGCTTTTTATTTATTTATTTTAATAAACGTTACCCAACCTTCAGAAAACTTTCCCTTTAGATTTCTTTTCTTTTTTTTTAGGGAATGATAGATTAAAGAAACTACCAGCAAAATTGTTTTAAATCTGTGTATTTATACATTTAGAAAAATACAAGTCTCACACACAGATTAGTTTTTTAAAGCCTTTTGTTGACAGAAGTTTAAAAGTAAAGTTATAATGGTTTATATTACAGAAAACTAGCACCTATGACTGGCATTTAAAAAATAATTCAATTTAGACTGCAAGATGACAGTAAGAATATACCAGTTTGAAATTTCAGTTTTTGGAGTTGTGGTCTTTAAATCTCTGTACAGTTTGTTTTGATTTTTCTAATTTAAAACAAGTAATTACCTAAAATTAATTCACACATTTTATCGTTACAGTTGGACCATTATCATTATAACTACACACTGATTAGATGCAAGTGCACTTCACAGCAGATCTCCTGAGGAAAAACAGGATGTTCTACTGAGCTTTCTATTAGGATTTTCTGTGTAATGGTATGATCTGCTTAACTCTAAGTGAAAGCAGGATGTTGTTACTATTGTGCAGGAAATGTCAATTTTATTATCTTGGATCAAAGTAATCAGAGAAGTCTATTTTTCACTAAAATTCTTACCTGGCTGTAGATGTATGATTGTGTTTCTGACTTCCTGTTAAAGGAGACACAAGGCAACTTTTGGATTCAGAACAAAAGACGGACGTCAACAACATATGAAGTGATATTGCATTAAGGACAACTGTTTATTTGCCTTTAGTAAAAACATCAAAAGATACCTGCAGACTGTAAAGATTCAGCAAATGTAAATCACAAGGTGACATTATGTCATGTTAATGATCAGTACCATTATTTGCATTCATTAAATATTCAACATAGTACTAAAGGTCAAGGGTCTGTACACAAAAATGCAAATCATTTCAAGTTTTCAACTGAATATGAAGAAATCCAGTGTTTTACTTAACTTAATGCACATTAATAAACCTAAAGAATTAATTTCCCCCACACAAAAAGAAGTACATAAAGGTAGAAATCAGGAATATGTTTTAATGCTGTGGAAAATCCTGCATGATATTGCATAGGCTTCATGACAGTAACAGTACCATTTTTGCTCCGGTGGCCACAAGCTTTACCCAAAATGGAAATAAAACATATGCCATGATAAGAAAAGAGCTTGGAATGTTCTTAGTTACAGAAGAAACAAAAATATTTCTTATTCTAAACCAAAACTCATACACTCGACTGCTAGTCTAATCACTAGTTTTCCTTAAGAGTCTTTTCATAATAATGGATAAAGCAGAAAAACTAATTTTGTCATATAAGGGTGTGACGGTAGATACACTGATGAGACAGAAATATATACAATACAGAAGAGTATATGGTTCTGACTGCAGAATAACACCATATTTGGTTTACGTGGCTACGGGCAGGTGTGTTCTTTGCAGGATTTAGACACATCCTCCAGCAGGGACTGTGACCACTGATGGAATTTTATTCTCTTTTTTTTTTTTTTGCCCGCACTCAAAATGTTTATTTCTCTACATCAGCAGGGCGTGAAATATCCATCTCCATCTTTATTTCTTTATCTGTCAGCTGGCAAGATCTGGATGACATGGAATCAAGATCAGTGCCAGGAGACTGAGGCTCTTTCTTAATGTCTATCATTAGTCCAGAGAATGTTCTGTTAACTTTCACACCAGAGAGATCCATGGGATCCATGTTACACTGCTTCACTTCGGTATGTGTTGCTGTCTCTCCTGAATTTGTTTTGACAGTCATTTTGCTATTGCTGTTTTTAAATTCTTGTCTTTTAGTGCCATTAGCCTCTCCTGAGATCTCAAATTCTTCTGGCTCACTTTTAACAGGAGGAAGAGAAATGTCACTCAGAGCAGACTTAGATGATTTAGACTTCTTTGACAAATCCAGAGGTGTGTCCCATTCTGGATCCTGTTTGATCCCAGTTACCAAATCGAGGGGGGCATTCAGTAGTGCTCCAAGAGCAGCGTTCACTCCTAAATGTTCATTTGAAAAATGTGGGAGAGCCGCTTGAACCTGCATAGCTGAAACTGGTAGTGTGGGAGAGTTTGCAGATGGGAGTGTCAGGCCGTTGGCCTGAGTTGCACAGACAGGAAGAAACACGACAAGTTTAACACCTGGAGGCGGCTGTTTGTCGAGGGTTAGCTTCCATAATCCATCTGATGGACCAGAGCCAGAAGACACATCCCCTGTCACAAGTCCTGGACTAGGAGAATCCGTCACTGGTGCAACAGGGTTGTTTGAAACAGCAGCAGGCACAGCGGCTTTGTTGGTAGTATTTGATGAGTGTGGTTTTGCATTGACCCTGTTTGTCTCAGATGAGGAATTCTTTGAGGCCTGCCGTTTCTTGGGAGCACTCTAAGATGAGAAAGACAACAAAAACATCCCATTTTACTCAATGACAGATACAAAACACAAGTGTGACATGTCAGTGTAATGAAGCTGGAGAGGCCTATAATTAGCTTGAGATAGCTTACAATCACAGTTTAACTTTTAACATCACACCACAGTGCATTTACTAACAAGAGCAACGGCTTAGAGTAACATCGCCGGGTTTGCCTGCCACACGCCCACTCTGTAAACAAGGGCAAAACAAACCTACGCTGCATGCTGCTCCTAGGTCAGGGAGACTGTTGCTAACTTTGGTTAATGCTGGACAGCATTTCAAAGTGTGGTATTCAAACATCATTTTGATTCAAATTTGTAACATTAATACTAATTGTATGGAATTTTACCTTGATTAATCATGAAACCCAAAACCATTTCATCCCTTCTAGTTTGTAATCTCTTGTCATTTGCAGTTTGAGGCAGCTCCAAAATTTTAAGCCCCCTCCAATCAAACATGTTTTGCAACACTGTTATGTCACTTAGATATTTGCAGAATGATGCAGAGTTCGACTAGAAGGCTGCTTTTATGTGCACCTGCTGAAGCGAAGCATTTCTATGTGCTCACTATGTCCACTGTGTTTCCGTGGCACATACATGTGAGCAGGATTTTATGACATCATAATTAATTAGGAGGCAATTTGTTGTTTTGACGCAACTTACATTGAGACTTTTCAGTAAAGCAGTTGACCATCACATTCTGGGTTTTTCAATGAGGGAGGACTAGATGTAATTTTCAGCAATGTATAGACCGTTTCACTGATGCTCTGTTGCTCAGGCAACAGCTTTGGTCCCTGTGCACTTCCTGTCAGTTACTGCATTAACAAACATTCTAACAGGAAGTACCAAGGGACCCATTTAGAATGTTTATGTTGTCCAGTTTATTCTGTTGCTAGGGCAACAACGTTGGTCCCTGTTTACTTCCGGTCAGCTTCTGCATTAACATACATTCAAACAGGAAATACAAAGGGACCCACTTAGAATGTTTATGTTGTCCAGTTTGAAACGGTCTATACTGGGTGATTGAACTCTTTTGGGAGAAACTGTGGACACTGGACACAAATTATTATTCAAAATGGAGTATCTTTTTATGTCTTAACATATGACTCAAGGAGATCTTTAGATGCCAAATAAAAATTCTATTGACAGCCATTTTGTCAGAAAATAAAACCTAGAAGACAAACAGTAGGCAAACACTGATGGTGTAATCTCGTTAAACAGATATCTGCAAATGCCTGCAGAATCTGTAGTCAACGGGACAAGATTTGGTATCAGAAGTGTTGTAGTTTCCGTGTGTAGTTCAAGAAGTACTGACCAATCATGTTTGAGCTGGCTTTGGTTGCATGCAGGTAAACGTGTTGAGCAGAAGAGGTGGAACGCATTGACTGAAATGCAATCTTGGAACCCATCTGCTATCGTCTGATGATGATTCAGCTTTTTATTACTTAGTCAAAATGTTGTCTGGACCTGTCTCAAGTTGCCAGTCACATTGTAAACCAGTGGTTCCCATCTGGTCCAGCCACGGGGTCCAGATTTCTCCTTGCTCATAAGTTCAAGGTCCATGGGTTTAATACATTCATACTTGTGTTTGCCCATGTCATCGAGCTAGTTTGCTGTCTCTGTCAAGGCACTTCAAAGTAAAAGTCGTGTGCTGAAATTCACTGTACTTAAAAATAAAGTGTTTTTAAAAACTCAACATGTTTGCGAGTCACTTGTGGTCCACTCAGAATTGCAGCGTAACCCACTTTTAGACCATGACTCACCAGTTGGGAACCACTGCTGTAAACAATGACTGGCACATGGTAGAGGAAGTCTTGGGCCATCTAAACCGGAACCCCTGAAATACTGCCTGTTGCCCTCAGAGACTTATCATCGTCAGATGATAGCCAATGGCTTCCGAGATTGCTGATAGTGTGAATTTAGTCATTTCTTGTATCAAAATGTTTCTCCCCAGAAACCTACTCTTAAATTCTGGATGTTGGAGTTTCTGCTCTCACCTTCACTACGAGATGAACTGACTCAAGGGATTTTTATATCTCTGCGATTTCATTTTCATAGAAATTTGCATCATTCAAATTTTATTTTATCATGCTAAACTGAAACCAACGGCTGCATGGAAGGTGGGATATCAGTCTAAAGTGTAAACTTTGAAAGGTAACTTAACATCACTGGAGAATCTTGTTTTTCCTGCCTTCCAGTAATTTAACTTGTAAGCGTGTTGCAGTAATGTACAGGTGTACTCCAGGACACAGTGGATGACACTATTGGGTGTAAAGCGCTCTTCTTCCGTGTGCAGTCACAGGTTAAATGGACTTTAAGCTTTCAACTAGAGAGGGCAGAGATAGATAGCCTTTTTAACATGGTATTAAGTTACTCTTTTAAGAAAGTGGCAGCCAGTTTAAACTTAAACTGTACATCACTGTAATGCTTCACACTCACCGCAGGCTGAGGTGTTTGTCCACAGGTCTTGAGGTGGCTGTCATAGTTCTGCTGGTGAGGAAAGCCCAGTCCACAGCTTTGACAAAGGCAGGGCGACTTGCCTGCATGACCGCCCATGTGGGACATTAACAGCAAGGCCGACCGGAACCCCTTTCCACACTCAGCACATTTCAGCACCCTCTGGTGAGCCCCTGCATGTTTCTTTAGCTCTTCAGAAGTGTCAAACCTCTGTCCGCACTCCAAACATCTGATCTCGTCCCCTTTAGGCTCCTGATTGCCCCAGCACCCTGTGTCCTTTTTGTGCTGCTGGAAGTCCTCCTGACTGAGGAACTCTCTCAGACACGCCACACAGTGAATGCGTTCGGGCTCACACTTGTGTTGGCGGTACAGCTTTGCCAAGCGGAAGTGGCAGCGACATCGAACACAGGTATAAGGCAACAAACCAAGATGGGAGAAGCTGTGTTTCAGGAGAGCGTTCTTCTTGCTAAAGGTCTTCGTGCAGTCTGTGCATTTAAAATTGCAATGGCATACCCTCCTCCGATGGCGCATGAGAGATTTTGAAGAGGGGAAATGGCGGCCACATACTTCACATTCCACTTCCAGCCTACATTTCTGCGACTGCACATGGTATTCACACGCCTTCAAGGAAGTAAACACGCGTTTGCACAGGTCACACTCGTAAAACTCATTCTCAAAGTGAGTTCTGGACAGGTGGAAATTCAAATCTGCCTCTGACGCATAGCTCCTCATACACACACGGCACTGGAGACGAGTCACTTTGGTCTGGGCGTGCGTGCGCAGGTGGACACGGTAGTTGTAAATCTGGCAGAAGCGCTTTCCACATTCAGCACAGCAGTACGGGCGTGCTCCAGTGTGCAGGTTCATGTGGTCCTGGAGCTTAAATTTGGAGGGAAGCTGGAGATCACAGACACTGCAGCGGTAGTTGCCTGAATGACTTGACTCTGTGGAAAATTAAAAGTGAAAAAATAAAGTGATAAAAGTTGAGCTGTAAATTTAGCAGGCAGGAACAAATCTTAAAATGATTGACATTAAAAGTAATTAGATATAAACTGAAATATCAGTGTGCATTTAGTACGACCTTATATAGAATTTAAAAAAGTAAGGCTGGTTATATTTTTTTGTCATAGTAAGCAAACCCCATGAAAATACAAGAACAAATGTCTAAAGCAAGATTTATGGTTGCATAGACCCTACGCACGTCACCTATGTCATTGTGAGCATTTTTACTTGTGCGGTGGTGTGTCTGTGTCACTCTGCAGTTACACCTCCAAAACACTAGTCGGCGGTGGAGGTTTCTGTGAAGTGCTGTAAAGTTTAGTTGATTCAAAACACATTAAACATGGCTTAATAGAGACAATATCAAACACAAGTACACAAATTGGCTTCACTATAACTCAAACACTTGTGTTAACCCAGATGCATTTCCCTCACAAATACAACATGCTAACATTATTAGCGCCAACCTATGGCATTTTACGTTGTATAAATTAGCATAGCTACTAGCCATCTTTTCCTCTTCTCATATAAAACCAGGGACAACAGCGACATTTGACAAAGGTAACGGCACATAATTTGGCTCCATTATGACTTATTAGATTCACAGACAAAACAACTGTCATACTAAACACGTATCCAAAGAAATACAACATGCTAACGCTATTAGTGCAAGCCTATGGCATTTTACATGGTATACATTAGCCTAGCAATGAGCGGAGATTTCCTCTGCTCATATGGAACCTGGATAAATCCCAAAGTATAAATTCCTGAGGGATAAATTCCACACAAGTTTTAAAATGCTATTTTTTGGAGGCTTTACTGTCTTCACAATTTATTATTTCTTATCTGTGGGAAAAAAGTAAATAAAAGCTTTGTTTCCACTGAGGGAAATGGTGTCAGTATACAGAAACAGACAGGAGGTCTGCGTCACCTGACGCGTAGTTACAATTCTGGGGAGGTGCACGTCAGGCTAGGGCTACAGCGTTGATTCAACGCAGAAGTATAAATGAACTTTAAGTGTGTGAGTTTTCCCGCAGTGTCTGTTTTACTCATTCATTCTTAAAACAGGTTACAAATATATACTCTGTTTTTTGAGGCTAAAATTTCCAAAACAGCTAGGCATTGTAATTCTTAACAAACGTTAGTGAAACAACAGTAAACACAATGTTTGTTGGGGTCTATTTTCAGCAGTGGATGAATACACATTTGGAGCTCTAGGCGTGTTACCTGGCAGCAGGACAGTGTATGTGGGATTGAATCAAAGTAAACAACAATGCCCAGATCCACTGCAATAAAGGAACGTGTCACCAAGTGCAGCAGTTTGGTTTCTTTAAGTGTTTTTAGTCAGTTTTTGGAGGAAATTTTTGGTCTGTAGCGAAGAGACACTATGTCAGGAATCAGAGACAATACAAGACAATTGTTTGTTTCACCAGAATTGTTGACAATAAGAAACATATGTTTTAAAAAATTGGATATTACGTTATTCCAGCCAAACCTTCTGTGCTTGACAGACTGTAAACATTACACTACCATCTGCTTATGAGAGTCAAAATGAACGTGTCATACCATTGTTCAGTCCCTCCTCGTCCTCATCATAATCCTCTTCCTCATCAACCTCTTCCTCCTCATACACATCTGAAACCTCGCTGTCATCGGAGTCATCATCCACATCCTCCTGCATCTCTGCTGTATCCCCTTGTGCTGTGTCTCCATCATCATCACCAGCTTTATCTGCACTGTCACCCTGTTCAGTTACCAGCTGAGGGAGGTCTGCAGCTTCTGGATCGTTCCCTGTGAGCTCTGACACTTCAAGAGTCCCTCTGCCTTTCAGAGCTTGTTCATCTTGTAGACTCCGTGCAGGATTTCGAGGTGTACAGGCTTCTGACAGAGGTGATGAAACTGCTGTGGTTTGGTTGCTGTTTGAGGTTCGTTTGGGTGTATCTCTCACCGAGGTCTCCAGCGGCTGCACGACGTCCGTGTATCCCAACTCTGTTAGCTGGATGTCAATGGTGTACTCAATAGACATGGCTGCTGGCTGATGAGTCAGAGAGAGTAGTGAAACACAGGTGTTAAATGAGCATTAACACAAAGAGTTGTAAGTTAAAGTTCAAGACACAACGTGTATGTTTACGAATACAGGTACATTTGCAAACATTTCGCCTCACCTGTCGAGCGACTACATCTGTGGCTTTTCCTCCGGCTCTTCGTTTTCCGCTCTTATTTTCTGCAGAGCTTGCCAAACAAGTTCCCCATGGAAATTAATTCATGGCGCACCTTAATGCACCGTTGGCACCTCGTTCACCTGGTACCTGGTGGTGGCTCAGCGTGGCTTCACTACATGTAGACAATAAGCTCTACCCTCAGTGTTCGCTTTTTAACTCAGCGGAAATGAGACGCGAAATGTATACGGAAAGCACACAACAAACGCCTCAACACCATGTGAACACAGAGCGACAACAATTAGCCGATAAGCTAGCTGCAACCTGGCATAACCCGATCATAGAGGGGGGAAATGAGGAAAACAAATGAACCACCACAAGGAGCGGAAACGCGTGTGAGCACTCGAGCACACCTGCTGTCCAGGAGTGGTATTACATGACAGGACATTTATTTATATCAGCTGGGTACTTTAATTTAATGCTACTTGTTTGATGGGAAATATTGTGTTTTTTCTGATAAGGTTTTTTGTTATATGTACATAAAATAACACAATAGTATATCTAAAAGCTGCAACATTAAAATACTGCATGCACATTAGTACATTAATATAAAGTAATGAATTAATAAAACAGATATAATAGTAATAAAGCCTGACAGGTGTCATCATGCATAATGGGTAACTTTTTATATTTTATTTTAATTTTTAATTTAATTTTTTTGGTACTTTACAGACTAAAGAAATAAAATAAAATAGATTAAAATAAAAATAAAACTCCATCTTTGGTGCTGTGTGACATTATGATACTGTATGTACATTTGTACTTTCTTTACCGTCTTATCAAGGTACTCATTACAGTCCATTTTAACAAAGAAGCCCATTTTTTAAACTTTTAATTAATTTTTTGTAGGTAATACTCATATACTGTAATTATTACACAGTGATCAGTAAAAAAATATTGAAATAATCTAATAAAAGTCCACAGAATATTATGTGTTACATTATTTGATTATTAATACTGATTAATATTAGTAGTACTGTGTTTTGTCAATGTGGAGCCAATTATAATGGCCTAATACTGTCTACTACTGCTTTTATTTATACAAATATACCATATTTTATAAGATTATCATACATAGTTAAAATATTTATATGATATTAAATATTTAAAAGATTTAAGTAACTATAGCTCTAAAATCAAATGTTTGTTGGTAAAAAAAAACAAAACATCTTAATCGGGATTCTAGTAGAAGCAGAGAGTAGCAGACGTCATGAATCCCCAAGTACCAATAACTTAAAATAATGGTACTTGAGTGAATGTAATTAGTCAGCTTTTAACCACTGCAAGTGTCGGATGGCATGAACACAACCAGGCACTTGGAGCAAGTTTAAATAAAATGAATATGCCCTGTCCAAAAAACTGGCTTGGACAAAATGTGCAGCATTGAACTGTTACATTTCAGCTGCCCTGAGCTTCTCGCCGAGCAAACAGTTAATATTATAAATCTTGTGATCCTGAATTAGACGTGAGAACAAAGACAAAAAGGCAAGTTTTCTTCAGCAGCCTCCCTTAGGATGGCACGTTTTATTACATTTTTGCAATGTCCAGACACATTGCAGTGGGGAGAGAAACAATCCAATCAGTGAAAAACACATATTATACACAGTTCCTTATGGGACTCTAAGGCATTAAAGAGTCATGAGTTCCATTTAAGAAATGTCTAAGACATGAAACATTATTTTAATAAGTGAAAAATTAAAAGGAGTCTTTTTTTTTTTACTGCAGACAATTCAGGATTATAGTGGATCATTTCTGCCCACACGTCAAACACTCCGCATTGAATCTGGAGCACTAAGCCAAAGTAAATTAATTTTAGCAAAACATAATCATGTTATTTTAAAATTCTTCCTCAATGAGACTTAATTTAGAAAGGAACATAATCAAAAATATTAAAAGGTAAAAAAAATGCACAATATGAACCAGAAGCTGTACATAACACATTTCTTTTGACAAACTGTCTAAACATTCAAACATAGTATCTCTACTAGGCGTCTAATTTGCTTCAAAATATGTACTTACCCAATTTGTTTAAAAAAAAAAAAAATAAAAAAAAAATAAAACTTTTTTAAAACCACAGAGTGAGTTGAACTCAAGACACCACCAAGTAATAAATTCACACCACACGCATTTCACGCTTAAAAAAAAAAACTTAAACAAATCATTTAAAAGTTAATTAAAACAATTTTTTTTTTAAACAAATAAACTATGTTTTGTGGCAACGGTTGTAATAGATGGATTTAACATTTGGTTAGTCAATTTTGGAGATGTGTTTGTCAAAAATCAACATCAGCTCACATTCAAAACTCAACTTAAAATCCAAAACCTGCTAAAACTTCATTCTCAAAACCATTTAACTCATCTGAAACCATCAGCTGTAGCATCAGATCTCCAATGTTAAAAGAAAAAAAAAAAGGACAATTCTTGACTAAAATCTTCAAAAAACATACACTTTCTGCAAAGTCCACTTGTCTCAATTATCTCTTTGCACTCATGTTTTCAGGCTTTTCCTCCGGGTGGCTTTTTTGGTGAGCTTTCAAGGTGCGCTCACGACCAAAGCTCTTCCCGCAGGTTGGACAGGCAAAGCGACCCACGGCATGGGCCCGTGACATGTGGGCATCCAGCTGCTCAGGACGAGCAAAGCTCTCTTCACATTCTTCGCAGGGATGGGCTTTGCGCGGGGTGTGTTTCTCCTTCTTGTGAGCACGGAGCTGAATCAGGCCGGGGAATGTGAGGTCACATTCAGGACAGGGGTGTTGACGGGCCAGAGCAGCAGCATCTGCTTTCGGTTTCTTCTCCTTTGCTGGAGACTGACTATCATCCTCGGGACTCTTCTTGTCCTCGGTTTCTGATTTCCCTACTGCTTTAGAAGGACGGCCTCGCTTTGCTCCACCTGCTTTTCCCTTTTCCTCTGCCGGAGGTGCTGCTGGTTCTGATGTGCTGCTGGCCTTCACCGCCTCCTCGGGCACCTCTGCCTCATCCTTCTTTTTCCGCTTTCCCTTTTTCTCAGCAGCTGCCGCGTCTTCAGCTTTCATAGGCCGTCCACGTTTCTTGAGGGCTGAAGCACTGCCGTTGCATTGCTGACCTTCAGGGTATTTCTCCTGGTGAGCTGTGAGCTCTGTTTCTGTTTCAAAGCCCTGACCACACTTCTTACAGCGGTGGGTTTTCGAAGGATCCTCTGGCTGTTCTGCTGTCTCTACGTCTGGGCGGGGATGCTGGGTCAGGCGATGAGTACGCAACAGTCCAGCACTTCGGAAGGTTTCATTGCAATCTTTACATACCAACTGCTTCTCTGGACACACCTGTCTTCTATGGGTTGTGAGCTGTGAAGGTGAAAAGTAGAAAAACAGAAACAGAAACATTTAGCATGATTTAGAATGAGCTTGATTTTTGTTTTGCCATTCATTGTGTTCTTTAGTTTTACTAACGCCAGGGACCTTTATTTTCAAGCACAAACAACATACTTACTTCAGAGAACGTTTTAAAGCTCTCCTTGCAGTGAACACATTTGAAAGGCTTGTCGTCCTTGCTGTGTGTGGGCTGGTGCTGCGTCAGTTCCTCAGATGACAGAAATGTGCGGTCACACACATAGCACGTGAACAATGTGTTTCCCTGTGAAGAAATAAAAAAAGAGGGGTCAGACTTAGAGGACAAATTGTAACTTAAAGCTAGTGTGGGAAAATTGCTGGAAAATATTGGGTGCCTAAAACATAAGAAATTTGCTTTTTTAACTATTTAAGTTCTTTGAAACACAGATAATTAAGATGGAAGAGAAAAGGATGTTGGGTTGATAACAGACTGTGGTTATGAAAACCAGTCAGAAACACCAATGAAAAGTGTACAAGAAAAGAAAAAATGCAAGTGGCACAAATTGTTACCATTTCTAGTGACTGAATTTTATTATTATATTGTAAAGCTTACCTGCTGAAGCTGTTGCTTATACTCTTCCCGGTGGCTCTTCTTCATATGCCTCTCCTTGGCTTTGGCACTGCAGAACGTGATGAAGCACTGGAAACACTGCAGGTTTTCATGCTGGTCTAGAAGGGCAGCAGACCATGCAAAGAAAAAGTTAATCTTTCAGCAGCTCTCAGGTAACTGAGTTTAAGCTGTGACAATGATACCACTTACAGGATTGAACAGCCGGTGCAGGAGGCCCATTCAAAGTGATGGGTTTGTATGGTTCCGCTGGCTTTTCAGGGGGAACCTCTGGAGGCGGATCAGGCAATCCCCGTCCCATCACTATCTCCTCTATGTTCAAAATCTCAGAGTCCATCCTGCTGTACTGGGTGGTCTCAACAGGCACTCAAAACAACTTTCCTGTAAATAATAAATGAACAAGGAAGACAACATTAAGTTATATGTCACGTGTGAATAACAGCGGCTTGACTAACACCGGGAACATACCACTGTTATAACTTATCGTGCACATACCGTCAATTACGTTACGTTCAACATAAACGAACAGATAATATCCCTGCTAACGTTAATTAGACTGAGGTAATTGTAATACACTGGTTTATAGAGACCACGGCATGTTTAGCCTCGGGGTTGTTTATCTCCTAGTCCAGTTCCCCATAGCTAACACTCAAGTTTCGGCTCATCTTGGCTAACGTTACGCTACTGCCGTTAAGGCCGCTAGCTAAGCTAACTAGCTCCACGAGAGCCAACGAGCATCCGGCCACCCGTTAGCCAATTAAAATGCCTTAAAGTGTCTATCTGGTGAACAGTAGTCAATTTCAAAATAATGTTACTGCTTTAGTTTAACGCCTGTGCACGCTGACGATGCTAATTACAAAATACAAACCCGCCGAGCGCGCTAACGCTAGCTAGCTAGCTTGCAAGCTAACGTTACTGTTTAGCGCTAACAACACTGGCTGCCATTCAAAGAGGATCGAAGACTTTTCGTGCCTTTTAACATGTCAAGTCTTAACTCATTGTTCGGAGCTTACATACATCTGCTATGCATCAATATAGTGCACGTTGCCATATAAAACCATAGCAAACTATTTAAATAGCAAATGTAAAATTGACGTTTACGTTACCTCACCGCTTTTTGAAGGTAGTTTGACTGAAAGAGTTGACCCTAAAGAAGAACTACAGCGGATAGATAGGACACTTCCTGGTGTGTGGTTGTGATAGCCGTTGGCACAACTAAGATGGCTGCCGTGTGGTCTTCTTCGGTACTATGATGTTGGTGTTGATATAAAACTAAACATCCAGTTATAAAAAATGGACCAGCCAAGTCCTTCAGAGGCGAAAACAGAGAAGCATTTGCATCGTAGTGGGTGCAGGTAGAAACACAAACCTTTCATGGAAACAAAGCACATGAATTCTACAGTATAATAACACTATAGTGAAATATCCTGTTTCAAAATGTTACAACACCTGTTAATATACTGTATTAAATAATACAATCATTTTAAAAGACGCACAATAGGACAGGTTTATCTTTATGAACGTGGCTTTGAACAATTTGAACTTGCCTCCTTTTCTATTCAGTCTGATTCTATGGTTGATCTTCGTCACGTGACCCAAGACAACTCGTGAAAAGCTCATTTTCATTCACTGTAATGTCATTGTTTTGTTTACCTTCTTTTTAATAAAAAGAGGTGGGGCAAACTCATTGTTTTTGTTTATGTCTCTACAATGAAAGGAGTGTAAATAAGCTTACAAGCTTAAATTAAGCTTAAATAAGCTCCACAACATCTCTTTGTACAGTTTTCTCTAAAATGATATATATATATACTTTATAAGCTCACACCCCTGCAGCAGGGGTGTAAGCACCGTTGCTCATCGTTTATCAAACGCAGTAACTCACATCAACTCACATCATCTGTAACTTGTTGACATCAGTCTTGGAGAGAACACAGTTTACCTGACTGCTGTTCCTGCACGTCACTCTCATGACAAATAATAAAGTTCTGTTTCATCCTCTCATTAAAGTTGTAGACATTGACACCCGCTTTGATACGAAGGGGAGGAGGGGGCCTTGCGTAAATTACGGAGCCTATGCAACTTGCGTAATGAGTGTACGGCTGTTCGGTTGTTTGAGGGACACTTCAAGCGCACTTGGGGGCCCTAAGCAGCTGCTTAGGTGACTTGAGTCGCACCAGCTCTGGGGCAATGGGCGTAGAACCAAAGTCTGGGCCCTGTGCATGAGCAGTCTCCATCCGTGGGCCCCCTGCCCTTCCTCTCTTGATCCATGTCTCTCTCTCACACATCTTTTGAATATATATATTAAAAAATCCCCCTCACCACACCCCCCCATGGGAGTGGTGGTGTGTCTTCCACAAGCTCGGGTCCAGTACCAGAGGCCTGGGAGTTTGAGGGTTCTGCGCAGTATCTTAGCTGACTGCACTCTTCTGGACAGAGACCTCAGATGTTGTACCTAGAATCTGCTGGAGCCACTCTCCCAGTTTGGGGGTCACAGCTCCAAGTGCTCCGATTACCACTGGAACCACTGTTGCCTTTCCTCCCCACATCTATTCTAGCTCCTGTTTCAGCCCTTGGTATTTTTCGAGCTTCTCGTGTTCCTTGTTCCTGATGTTGCTGTCGCTCAGGATTGCTACATCAATTTATTTTCTTTCTTTCCAATTTCCCAGGCATGACCGTGTACATTGGTGCTCCAGCAGCATTAACTGTCTCACTCAGCACAAAGTTCTGTCTTTCAACCAATTTAGTCAGCCAGTTTTAATTGAGTTATGGCACTAATTACTACAGAATAAAGCCATTGCAAACAAAACTAGACGTTTCATTCCAAGCTTATCATGGGGCCACCTTCTACTGGGGCCCTGGGTCATCAGTCCCACTTTTCCCACTAAGACACCGCTGCCCTGTAGTAAGTATAGATGTATGTGTATAGTATACTCGATTTACAGTTATTTCAATATTAAAATGATCTTAGTGATTTTCACTACTACTACACAGTATTGATACATATTGAATTGTATGGTCTTATTTTGAATGCTTTTTGTCAAGACATTTTGATATGTCACAGTGGGGAAAACGTGTTAATAATGAAATTATTGTTGGCTGAATTCAGTTTACCTGCTTCAGTTTCAGGGTCCTGGTATTGTGTAAGAAATGTCACATTGTCATGGCTTACAGGGACAGTTGACTAGAACAGAGCCACCGTTGATGATACTAGCAACACCTGTGTGTTTTCTACTGTGACAAGTCAAAATGTCTGCCGTGAAAAAGGTGTACTGTGCAAACATTTGTCGGGTGTCTTAAAAAAATGCAACAATTAATGTATTTGTTCATCTGTCTTTTATTCTTTTCTGAAATTCAAATAAATAATGTTTAAATTCAATGAGCCAAAAACAAACTCATGATGGAATGTAAACTCGGTCAGGTTAAAATAAATAGTAAAAAAAAGTCATGGTAACTGCATGAGGAAAAATATTTTGCCCTTCTTTTGCAGAACAAAGTTTATGGCTATGAATATTTTTTACATTTCCTTCTGAAGGCAAATACATTTTTACACTTGCTCAATAACATAATAAGCCACACCACATAGCATTTGATTCTTACATTGCAGCACAAAAAATCCTTCAAAAGAATGCCACTGCCAGTAAAAGGCATCATGGAAAAGTTGTGAGGACATAGGATTTAATACCGTTTTTGATTAGCTGGGTTTTCGTACACCAAAAGCACAAGTACATTCTAAATCAGAGGGCAAAGTTGTGAAAAATAAAAGGGTCAGTTCTGTAGAGGACACTACTCTTTTCCCAAACTCCCTTGATTATGAAAATTCAAGAAGCAGTTGTGGTGGCGTGAGATACAAAGAAAGACACAGCACTTAAGGCATAGCACTCGAGATGTTCTCTGACAGTCCCCAAAGCGACATCTGCCGCCTTCTCCCTCCCCAAGCTGCTCTGGCCAGTGGCCTGAACCATCGTACCGCGTGGCTGCATCCGGCAGAGGACTCTCCTCCACCAGGCTGGGATTGGGGGTTTCATTTGCTGCATGACCCTTCTCCATGGGGGGTTGAGGGGGAACTGAGTCCTGGGTGTCAGAGCCACTAGAGAGAATCAAAGCCTTGGACACCTCCAATCTGAAGGCCATGAGAGTCAAAGGTGCAGATGCTGCCCTGTGGTCCTGTCTGTACAGGAGCCAGGAGTTGACCAAAGCCAGATCTGTTAGGTACCAGAGCACCGCTTGAGGCCAGCGGGTTGGAGCTGAGGCAGTGAGAGGGATAGAGTAAAGATTCTGCAAGTCTCTGTTGAGTTGAGCGGACATCTGGGCCTTCTCAAAGTTGTCAATGAGTGACACCATGTTCCTCTGGCTATTGCCTGCGGTAGAAAGTATGAAGCCACAGTGTGATCTGCGTAACATCAGCTTCCCGTCTGAGCTTACAAACTCATCTCCGATCTGTCCTCGGGCTCCTCCGACCCTTCCTGCACCATGAACCCCAGCTACTAAGAGACGCTCCAGCATAGCAGGTGTGGAGAGCTCCTGTCTGCAAAGAAACACCATGCTACCTTTAGGGACCATTTTTTCTACGGCATCCTCTTTGCTGGACAGACCCACCTTCAAATCCACATGTAGGAGCAGACCGCCAAATCCAATTAATGTAGTACAGTAAAGAGACAGTTTCTTATTGTGCATCTTTCCAGTCAAAGGGAGTGGATACTGGTCAACTGCATAATCACCCTCTCGCTTCAGTGACTGGCACCCTGCTTTGAAGCGGCACAATAATGGCCGAGCCTTCCACAGGGGATCAATCTGTGTCCTTGAACTGTTCGGGTCATCTGGCGTGTCCCTTTCCCTCTGCCCGTCACTACGCTGACAAATTTCACTTTGTCTGCTTAAGACAGTTTTACCTTGCTGTGCACTTTGACAGTCACTACCATATCTTCCTTCCTGCATATTACCATTGTCTGGATCTTTCGCAGTGGCAAGCTTCAACATGCGAGACAGCTCGAGGAAACGTGAAAGTGGCATGGCTTCAGCAATCAAGGGCACCTTAGTCAAGTCCTCCCAATACAGCTTTGGACTGGGAAACTGAAAAATAGCAAGAGACCAAGTATAATTTTAGTCATCTCATGGTCTAACTAACAGAGTGAAGTAAACATTAACAAAAAAAACAATGGAGCCCAGACCTTTAAAGTTCCCATGGCAATGTGTATCCCAACAAACTGTGCAACCTCTCTGGCTGTGACAGGTTCGGACATGTTGGACAGTTTGTTTGTGCAATTGGCAATTTCTCCCCAGGTATCCCAACCAAAATACTTGGAGAAGTAGTCAATGGGCTCTCTGGTCCTTTTTTCCTCTGCTAGTGCTTGGAGCTGGCTCCCTGACGTTTGCAAACTAAGGAAGAAAAACAACATGTTTAAACATAATCATCTCCAAAGCCTGAGTTAATTTAATTTTCCAATTTCAGAAAGTCTTAGGTTACAATGAAACAATTTCCACACAATATGACAGCGTTATTTTATCTTAAAAAAATAGGAGAATTCTTTTTTTAAGCAGTGCTCTATGAAGGTTTGAGGACAAAAAATGAAGATGTACTGTACCTTTGTGACATTTCATCTGGCTGCCGAGGGCTGTTTTTCTGGTTTCTGGAGAAATAAGCCATTACTTCTGCTTCTGAGTCAAGCGGAGGGTCAGGCAATTCAAAACCACCAACGTCCTCTTCATCAGAACTCTGGAGGAGAAAGTCCCTGAGGTCTGTTGGATGCTGCCACTCAGTGTCTGCTTCAGCTGTAGGACCAGATTACATGCAGACGAGTTATATAAAGTATGATCAACATTTTTAATAAACAGCTAAAGGACATTTAACAAGTAGATACAAATACAGGTAATTGTGAAATAGAAAACATACCTTGTCCATCTGCAAAGTCACTGACCCCTGGTTCTGACAATAGTCCCCTCACTCTCATGTCCTGGTAGTCTGGTGCAGAATGGCTCCCTGTTAACAGATTCAGCATTAAAATCCTCCTATAACCTTTGGTAAACACACTGGAAAAGGAAATGACTCACTTAAATGACTACCTGTTGCTTGATGTTCTGTCTGCTGGGCATCGCTGGACGCCCCCGTTGTTAAATTCCCACTGTTGGCCTGAGCAGCTCCCAGCAGAACTTCCCTCTCCTCCTCCTTCACTGGGTAGAAGATGCACTGGTTGGTACTGAATTCAGGGGTGATGTGACAGTCGCTCGCCATCTCTCCACTC